AAAACGTAATGAATAAAATATCCACTCATTTTGTTTTAAAAATTTCCTCYGTTTTTTTTAAGCCAATCTAGCCCTATGCTTTGCCCTCACTCATCCCTTTTACTAAGGCTCTTWTGACTGTCTGTCTGTTCCAGCTCTCTGAATGGAGTTTTTCTTCGATTGAGGGACCTTGGATGGTTCTGATTAAGCTGAGCAGACACTGTAGAATATTAAGCGTGCCTCTGGAGGGGAGTCATTTAATTCCAAAGGAATACCTCCTTCTCATAGAATCTATGCAATCAATTTTTCATTAGTGCAAAAGTGTTTATCTGCCTTTAACATGCCCCTGACTCGAGCTGGATAGGGGGTTGTGGGCGGTCGATCCATGCTACAGCTTGTTAATTAAAGTTTATTTAATTGAAGAAGAACCACGGCATTAATTACGAAGGAATCCTCTACCCATCCAGATGGGTAAACTCACTAACTTTTGGGCCCCGCCAAGGCCAGTCTTGTCAGTTCAGCTATTGACGAATCCTGAGACGTCCTGCCAAGTACCAAGATGGGCAAAAAAATTTGAAAGCTTTAAAAGAATAGCAAATTACTTCTTTAAAAAAAACAAAGGTGAGGGAGACACAAAGGAGATAAAAACACTGCTCACTAACAATTATTCTTTGTTTCTTGGGCACCAATCAAACCGGCGACATGTTGCTTCAAAAGGTCTGCGAAGGCACCTACCATCTCAAACRTACCAACGAGACGCAATTACGCTTTGATTTCCAGATGAAGTTCGGAGAAGAAAAATATCTTTGAGTCTTTTATGCTGAGAGGAAAAGAAAAAAAAGTACCCAGAAACTTCTGGTTTTAATTGTTTCACTCAGTATGATTTCCTCTTAGGGGGACAACACGCAGAGAGGCAGTCAACTCCGAGAGGCGGGACAGCACATAAATCACCTGAATCTCAGACACAGATAGCAGCTGGGAGAGGCCAGCCTTTGAACTAACAAGACAYCTACCTGTGTCGAAAGACAAACCCATCGAATACAAAGCTGGTAAGAAGTGAAGAGGCTCTGCTGCGAGCAGATGGGAGCAATAAAATAGTCGTTTTTTATATATATATCCTCTGTGAAACGTGAAGCTGCTACCTAATAAAGTAGCACTTTCAGAAAATATTTTTAAACAAATATATCTATAAGTTCAGTTACACAAAAGGAACATATGCCAAATAAAAAAAAGAAAAAAGTCAAAGCTTTGTTGTCAGCATATGTTAGGATTAAACTCAGCACGTGACGCGAGTGTTGATTACTCAACTTTGAGAGTGTGATCACACTCTCAGTATGATTTAATTAGTTCAAAACATATTGAATTTTTGTATTTGTGTTTTTTGCTTAGGTTCAAGCTAAAAGAAAACCGTAAAACTGAACAGGTCAAACATGTTAACTTGTTGCCTAATAATTAAATTAAATTCTAGAAATGAATTTAAAAGTACCCATTTCACAGAATTCAATCAAACATATCCATACTTATATAGATACTGTTAGTTTTAAAGGGGACATATCACGCAAAATCCACTTTTTAGCTGTTAAATTCATTTTGTTGTGGACTTGGAGTCTCTAAATCTATGAGTGCAGAAAAGTTTCGGAAAATTTAGCCTTTTCTGGTGCTGCAAAGATATCTTGGGTCATATTTTTTTCGCTCAGTTTTCTCCATTTTCTATCATGTTTTCTGAACTATTAAGTCAAATTATCTGTGACGGAATTTCCAAATAAGGTCTGGGCTTACAGACTACAATTTTCTCGTCTTAATTCTCTGGTTCGGGGTAATTGCAAATAAATTGTTCCTGCACGCTAGAAAATGCTAACCCCCTCTCTCAAACTGAAGTGAGCTGGTCTGAAAACTAGTGAAAGAGGAGGAATTCAAACCAAAGCAACTTAGTTCCATTTTATAAAGACCCAACTTGAAGGATTTAAAGGTAAAAAGGAAGGATTTGAAAGCATGATATGTCTACTTTAATTCATCTAATGATGCAGTTTGAAAAACAAAACTATTTTTATATATTATCGTAATTATTCATGTATAATATGATCTCATGTATAA